GCCAAGAAACACGAGCAATGGACATTAGACTGGTGGAAATGTGTACTTTGGTCTGGAGTCCAAATTGGAGATTTTTGGTTCAAACCGCCGTGTCTTTGTGAGACGGATGATCTCTGCATGTGTAGTTCCCACCGTGAAGCATGGAGGAGGAGGTGTTATGGTGTGGGGGTGCTTTGCTGGTGACACTGTGTGATTTATTTAGAACTCAAGGCACACTTAACCAGCAAGGCTACCACAGCATTCTGCAGCGATACGACATCCCATCTGGTTTGGGCTTAGTGGGACTATAATTTGTTTTTCAACAGGACAATGACCCAACACACCTTCAGGCTGTGTAAGGGCTATTTTACCAAGAAGGAGAGTGATGAAGTGCTGCATCAGATGACCTGGCCTCCACAATCCCCCAACCTCAACCCAACTGAGATGGTTTGGGATGAGTCGGACGGCAGAGTGAAGGAAAGGCAGCCAACAAGTGCTCAGCATATGTGGGAACTCCTACAATATTGTTGAAAAAGCATTCCAAGTGAAGCTGGTTGAGAGAATGCCAAGAGTGTGCAAAGCTGTCATCAAGGCAAACGGTGGCTATTTGAAGATTCTCAAATATAACATCTATTTTGATTTGTTTAACACTTTTTTGGTTACTACATGATTCCATATGTGTTACTTCATAGTTTTAATGTCTTCACTATTATTCTACAATGTAAAAAAATAGTAAAAATAAAGAAAAACCCTTGAATGAGTAGGTGTGTCCAAACTTTTGACTGGTACTGTACACTCACTCACACACACTACATTGACACTCCCAAACAAAACCGACACACACACACACACATACTGATACAACCCAAACAGCTGAGGAGTATTTTTCTCCACTCATACAGGAGTAATAAAGGCCTAGTTCACAAATTGTGTGATATATTCTTTTTTCTCTATCAGGGGGTGCTGCAGCACCATCAGCACCCCTACTTCCTCTTGATGCCTAGTCACTTTACCTTGCCTTCATGTACATACAGTGCCTTCAGAAAGTATTCTCATCCCTGGACTTTCCCCCAATAAAATTGTGTTACAGCCTGAATGTAAAATTGATTAAATTGGCCTACACACAATATCCCATAATGTCAAAGTGGAATTATGTTTTTTCAAAATAATTACAAATAAAAAGCTGAAATGTCTTGAGTCAATAAGTATTCAACCCCTTTGTTATTACCAGGTGACCTAAATCAAGCATTCAGCAAGTTAGACAGACATAGCAAACGCCATGCTCTACCAACTGAGCTACACGGAATCTGTTTGAAATTCACTGCTCAACTGAGGGACCTTACAGATAATTGTATGTGTGGATTACAGAGATGGGGTAGTCATTCAAAAATCATGTTAAAGACTATTGCACCCAGAATGAGTCCATGCAACTTATTATGTGACTTGTTAAGCACATTTTTACTCCTGAACTTATTTTGACATTTGGATCACATGTAGGCCTATGTAATTAGATTGTAAGGATGTAAGGATAAATATGTATTTAAAGCTGCAATATGTAATTTTTTGGGCGACTTGGCCAAATTCACATAGAAATGTGAGTTATAGATCGGTCATTCTGATTGAAAGCAAGTCTGAGAAGCGGTAGATCTGTTCTATGTGAGCTATTTCTATGCTTCATGTTCATGTTTCGTTTTTGCGTCTTTTACTTTCGGTTTTGTACACCAGCTTCAAACAGCTGAAAATACCATATTTTTGGTTATGGAAAATATATTTCACAGCGGTTTAAATGGTACAATGATTCTTTACACTACACTTGCTTGTTTTGTCACCTAAACTGAAATGAACTATTAGAATTTTGGCAACCAGGAAATGGCGGAGCCATTTCTGCATAGTGCATCTTTAAGCTCTAAATAGTAATCCACCCAAAACAGTAAACATGCATTGATAATACCCAATGATGGGTGGCAACATTAACCATTTATGAGCATGTAGTGCTTTTTGCTTCCAAAAAAACAGAAGCAGGTGGTCTCCCACAATGCTTTGGTTCCGAAAGTTAATGACCTTTGATCACATGGTTGTTGTAAAGGTCATGCAGTCACATGTAGCAAAGATTATGGATATAGAGCCCCACAGTGGCAGTGTCATAAAACCTAGCGGTCAAACAGGGAAATGGTTCCAATAGTTTTTTCCACCATTTATTTTTCCCAATAGGGGATTTTAGAAATATTTAAAATAAGGGCAGTGTTTCGTGTAGGCTTACCCTGGCGTGATGTTTTGATAACCATGTAAATCTCTCTCGGACAAGGTGCCTTTTATCAATATATTGGGTTCTATTTACTCTCATATTCGAAAATGCTCATTAGCATCAGAGTAGACATCATGCAAGACTACAAATCCCTGCAAGCTCCTGCACGTCATCTCTAGCTGAAACTTGCACAAGACAGTTCACAGAATTGTCAATTTCAAGACATTTTGCCAATTTATTAATTACTACATTTAGCTAACATTAAATAGTTAATCAAGAGATTCTTACCTTTGCCTCGATTCGGAAGTCTCGTCCAAATCATCATGGCATTTGTATGTCTTTTTCTTTTTCTTTTTTTGGGGCTAAATACAGTCACCTTGTACTAGAGAGATTTACACGGTTATCAAAACAACACACCAGGGTAGGCCTACACGCAACACAGCCCTTATTTTACGTGTTTCTAAAATCGCCTATTGGAAAAATGAATGGTGGGAAAATGATTGGAACCATTTCCCTGTCTGACCACTAGGTTTATGGGTATTATGACTCAGGGGCGCAACTTTGGTTTTAGAAGTGGGGGGGGCCATAACTTTTAATTGTATTAATTGTATTCTTATCCAGCGGGATAAACACTCCAAACCACCTACCTGACTGCTCGGAGGCGTCCGCATGGTCCTAAAGCACACCATTGCCTCGATTTGTATCACATTCCAATTATAAAACTGGGGGGGACAAAAATGCAATTTCAGAATGTGGGGGGGGACATGTCCCCAGTGAAAGTTGCACCCCTGTTATGACTCATACAGTGGTACTCTATACTGACAATATTTTTTATTTAACTAGGCAAGTCAGTTAAGAACAAATTCTTATTTACAATGACGGCCTACCCCGGACGACGCTGGGACAATTGTGCTCCGCCCTATGGGACTCCCAATCACGGCCGGATTGTGATACAGCCTGGAATCGAACCAGGGTCTGTAGTGACGCCTCTAGCACTGCGATGCGGTGCCTTAGACCGCTGCGCCACTCTGGAGATGCATGGCTCTCCGCCCTAACAATGGGAGTCACTCTGGATACATCTCATTATTGTAATCCATTTTTGAATATTCGAAGAGGGTTGTTGACGTCAACCGCCTGCATTCAATGGAGAGAGATGCTATGCTACTAGCCTTTAAAAAAATTTTTATTTAACATTTATTTAACTAGGCAAGTCAGTTAAGAACAAATTCTTATTTACAATGACGGCCTACCCCGGACGACGCTGGGAAAATTGTGCTCCGCCCTATGGGACTCCCAATCACGGCCGGATTGTGATACAGCCTGGAATCGAACCAGGGTCTGTAGTGACGCCTCTAGCACTGAGATGCGGTGCCTTAGACCGCTGCGCCACTCTGGAGATGCATGGCTCTCCGCCCTAACAATGGGAGTCACTCTGGATACATCTCATTATTGTAATCCATTTTTGAATATTCGAAGAGGGTTGTTGACGTCAACCGCCTGCATTCAATGGAGAGAGATGCTATGCTACTAGCCTTTAAAAAAAAATGTATTTAACATTTATTTAACTAGGCAAGTCAGTTAAGAACAAATTCTTATTTACAATGACGGCCTACCAAAAGGCAAAAGGCCTCCTGCGAGGACGGGGCTGGGATTTAAAAAAAAGTAATATATATATATATATATATATATATATATATATATATATAAATATAGGACCAAATACATATCACAACAAGAAAGACAACACAACACTACATAAAGAGAGACCTAAGACAACAACATAGCATGGCAACAACACAGGACAACAGAGCAAGGTAGCAACCCAACATGAAAACAACATGGTAGCAACAGAACATGGTAGCAGCACAAAATGGTACAAACATTATTGGGCACAGACAACAGCACAAAGGGCAAGAAGGTAGAGACAACAATAAATCACGCGAAGCAGCCACAACTATCAGTAAGAGTGTCCATGATTGAGTCTTTGAATGAAGAGCTGGAGATTAAAACTGTCCAGTTTAAGTGTTTTTTGCAGCTCTGCATGAATATACATAGCCAACTCAAGACAACTCCGATATAAAGTGTTTTTTCTCAAAGTTCGCAGGATGTCACGTGTCCTACTTATATCAGTACACTCATAACAACTTAAGAATTACGAAACTTCTATCCAATCAAATAAACCTCACATAGCAAATAAGCCATTCATTTTTTTGTTGACCAAATTCGACTCTCATTGACCTCTATACAAAAACTCCTTGCTTGTTGGGCAAAACAACGAAAAACACCATCTGCTGGAGGGAGACAGATTTTCCGCCGAGTAGGCCTCTCTCGTCCTCTCTGCATGTAGTCGCAAGTCGGAACATTTTTATACCCATAATGCAACACACTTTGAAAGGAGGTGACCAACGTTGGTCAACGTCATGACAAAGGTGATCCACTCGAACGCGCCCAATGACTTTGCCTCCGGGTGTTCTATGAAACGAAATTTCGCTTCCGGGACTGCTTCCAGCAACATGGTCAGGCCCAACCCTGCTCAGACGTGTGAGCCTCAGTTGCTGCTGAAAGGCAATCAGACCAACCCTGACTTTGATGATACAGAATCAATTAACATATTTTAAAAACGTGTATCATTTACACCCATTATTCCTCTGAATTGCATGAGCATATATAATTTGAGATTACATGTTGTTAAAGAGTGCCATCTGTTAGACAGATAAGTGGGATTCAGAAACCTATAATGTTTTTTACTAAAACGTACCTCGCGGGCTTCCGTCGTCTACAGCATGACGTCATAACAACAAACTTGCTAGCTCCTATCGCTCTGTCGTGAAAGCTCGATGGGAAAAGCAAATCAATTAAGAATTGAAATCGAAAGATACTGGCACATCAATCGTCTGTATGTGAAATTCCTTTGAAAAGGTGAGGTTGAAGATGTTTATGTTATGTAGAGCTAGTAGTAGTTAAATAACCGCATATTTGAGGTAGGCTAGCCGTTAGCTAGCTAGCTAGTTTGTTGTTGCTTAGCCGCGGGGGGTTGTTGTGGGGTTTGCATGGATTTGGACGTTGCAATGTAGCTAACTACCATACATTTGCCATCATTTCGAATTCAGTCAACAGCAAACTCATGGTGGGGAGAGTCCACTCTCTAGCTAGCTTTAAGATTAGTTAGCTAGCTACCTTCTTAGCTAACTACCGTTACTAGCCTTTGATCATGACTCACGGTTCCATCAGTACATTTCACATAAGTAATTGGACGAAGGCGTCTTCTGAAGGGGGAAGTTTTGTTAAGAGCAGCGACGCTCGGTCTGAACATTAACAGTACGGTTTTGGAAGGATAAATACGTTATCTTTCAAATCGGCGAGAAATAATTTTCTAAAATCAAAAGGTTAAATTGATACACACCTTTCATAGGGTTACGGTTCCCACACGAGCATATTTCCATGTTACAGCTCTTGTTTACGGGAAACAGACTGGACTGACAACCTGTGCTAATTTAACTACCAGCGTCTCCGAACTCCTGTGTGTAAACGGAAGACAGACGGCACAAATATGTTGTCACTGAAAAATACAGTGTTAAAACGGTGTACATACAGTAAGTGTGTATTTTGCATTTGTTAAATGATTTTGATGTGATATGAAAGTAGAGGGATTTATGTTTCTAGAACCGTACGGCAATTGAGCATAGATTCACGTTTAAATTGAGTAACGTTATTTGGCTGTTGTGGCTTCCTTGGACTAAGGAGCTAACGTTATAGTCTTGACCTAGCTACCTAGCTAACTTTCGGGACATGACATGGATTCTGCATTTTGACAAATGCGGTCCTTTCAGTGTGGCCAGGTGGTGTGCCCGGTAGTGACTGGCTTTTCTGCATCTCAAACCTCGACTTCAGCATCTTGCAGTTGCACAACCATATAACAGTGATGATGATGCATAGCTAGCCAGTGAAGTATGAGGGCTCAATTTATGAGTTGCCACAGCGACTGCACCTCATCACGAGTGATACACGATGCTGCCCATCTTTCGTTTGTAGTTGGAGAGAAGACAAAGAACAGACGGCCAGGCCATTCTTCCACCTGACAGCTAGCCAGCCGGAGAGACGGGGAACAGGATAGGGAAGCAGCGCGGAGCGGGCGCCGCGGAGCCACCGGAGAAGATGGCAGGCAGCCCGGAGAAGAGTTCCACAGCACAGGAGCTGAAGGAACAGGGCAACCGACTGTTCCTGTGCCGCAAGTACCAGGAGGCTGCCACCTGCTACAGCAAAGCCATCGTGAGTAGCGAGCTACTGCCCTTTATGCCGGATAATGTAGCTGTAGCTGACATGGCTAGACTTGTCCGCTTGCTTTGAAAGGGTATGACGTGAGATATTGACACTGACTTATTCACCTACTGTGAATAGATTGATGTACGTATAGAAAGTAGCCTATCCGCTGGACTGATGCACCCTTACAACAGTAGCCTGTGCAATATATGTGTGTGTGTGTATCCTGCCAACAGAACCGTAACCCGTCGGTGGCGGTGTACTACACCAACCGGGCTCTGTGCCACTTGAAGCTGCAGCAGCACGACAAAGCCCTGGCGGACTGCAAGCACGCGCTGGAGATGGACTCCCAGTCGGTCAAGGCCCACTTCTTCCTGGGCCAGTGTCACCTGGAGCTGGAGAACTACGACGAGGCCATCGGCAACCTGCAGAGAGGTCAGGCTCAACCCTCAGGGCCAGTTTCCCGGACACAGATTTAGCCTGGGCCTTCACAAAGTCTTAGAGTATGAGTGCCAATATAGGCTCAGTTTGTCTTTAAAGTTAATAAATAAGATTCTATGGACGGTATTTATATGGCCCCCTCAGTATTGCCCAACAACGTAGATGTGCATTTTTGTTTTGAGTGCTAGTTAGTATGCTATGTGCCGCAATCTAACTATACCCAGTACTAGGTACCTCCTTTGAGGTTATGGTACTAAACTGCAATTGTATAGAATGTTTTAATGTAACTAAAATGTTATTTTGTATAATGCTAAGATCTGTAGAAGGAAAAGAGGCAGCATTACAGTTTTAAGCTCTTACTTTCAACGGACAACATTAATGATATCTGGACCCGTTCTGTCGGCAGCTTACAACCTGGCCAAGGAGCAAAAGCTGAACTTTGGAGACGACATCCCGAGTGCCCTGCGGATCGCGAAGAAGAAGCGCTGGAACAGCATCGAGGAGAAGCGCATCAACCAGGAGAACGAGCTGCTTACCTATCTCACCAAACTCATCCTGGCTGAGAAGGAGAGGTGAGGGAGGGACCTGGCGCAACGCTCTTGGACTGAGACTCATACTAGTGTATGAGCAAAATGTCTGCGCTGATATTCCATTTCCTATAGGGAAGCATACAAGTTCATTGCATACCCTGTAGGTTCATTGCATATGAGTTCATTGCCAGAACCCCCTTGAATGACATTACATGGGTTGCTACATATCCTGCCCAGTGTTCTACACATGCATAATCATGTGTGATAATGAAATTGTTGAGATGTTGGTGCAAATCTTGGGGATTAAGTCTGGTTAATGCATTACAATTTGCGAGAGCATTTTCTGTTGTTCAATTCATCTTGGGATCTTTAGTGAATGATTAAGGAAATGCTACGTCTTTATATTTTCTCAGGGAAGTGGCGGATTGCCGGGAAAACAAAGAGGAGGACAATTCGAGTGGAAGGATGTTGTCAAGATCAAATCAAAACATGCAAGTTATGTCTATATCCTCCTACGTCTATATGCAGGGACCACTTGCCTTAAAGTATTAAGCACTGGCGTTGCATAACAGAATTGCCATCATGTAGCCTATTTCTCTATATCTCATTGATATTGAGGGGTGTTTGTATTAATGCTCTGTGCTAGCCTCACCCAACTCTGCTCTTTCCCTAAATAGGACAAGTTCCTTATGGACATGGAGGAGCTCTTTTCCCAAGTGGACGAGAAGAGAAAAGTGAGTGATACATTTTAAGTTAGTTGAACACACCGTTTACCGCTATTGTAAACAAACCTTCAATCCAGACTAATGGTCATTTCACTGAATCTTACTGATTACTCAATATCGTTAGCCATAGCACAACACAGCTCTATGCATTACTGAAATAATAATACATATTCGATCTTATTCATAAAATCTCACCATTTCATTTAGAGAAACGCATACAATCTGTCCACACTCTGTTTCTCTGGTCAGCTGGATCTGACCCACCCTCTTGCTTTGACACTTAGCTGTGCCAGTGTTATGGTTACCAAAATAGACTAGCCCTCCACCTCCTATTTCCAGTCCAAGCCGTTTCTACAGCAACCACCACCTCAAGTTGCTTGTCGAGGCTTGTTATGAAGGATTATCGGGGCCTATATATAGTTGTTGACTTGGTACATGTAATTGTCATTGTCAGTTAGGAAGACTCCGTCTTGCCTCTGTCAACATTGGTGTTTCAAACCCCTATACTGAGTTGTGCACACCGTAGCAAAATGTTTTACCATGGGAAACTAGGATTTCTTATTGGACAAGCTCAGGTAGTCCGCCCTTTTACAGTCCGTTTTCCTCTGTTTGGTACCTAATGAATACAACCCAGATCTAGGTGGTGTCTAGGGGAGTGGTTTTCAACCGGTGTGCCTTGAGGAACTCTCAGATGTGCTGTGAAACTTTTCCTAATTTTTATGGAACTCTGTTATAAAAATGACCTGTCGAATGCTCATGGAATTTTGACTTGGGAGCACCAGTGAGGCTCAGATAATACATTGAATGGCACACATGGTTACATCTGTATCGATGTTTCAAGTCCGGTGTGCTCAGGCTATTGTTACATTTGTATAATTTGAGGGACGCGCATCACGAACAAAGCCATTTGTATAGTTTTACTTAACCTGTGAGAACCATTAGCACAGGCAAGTCTGATTAGGCTTAGCTGTACCACAGCCTCTGTCATAGAAACAAACAAAACATGTATTTGTGTCGGTGGTTGCACCTTTAGAATGCGTCCGAGGGGGCCTAAGTTACCGCTTATACCTCGGTACACACACATGAATCATCATGAGTAAGGAACTATGAAAATAGTTAAAATAAACTCTATTTAATCTATAGAAAATGTTTGTCACAAAATAGATGATTTGCAGTATGGATCAGATGAGATGGAGGTCATTACCACTAAATAAATAGGCCTGTGTATCTCAGTTGGTAGAGCATGGCGTTTGCAACGCCAGGGTTGTGGGTTCAATTCCCACGGGGGGCCAGTATGAAAAATGTATGCACTCACTAACTGTAAGTTGCTCTGGATAAGAGCGTCTGCTAAATGACTAAAATGTAAATGCGTTAATAGGGACATTTGAAGTGTGCCGCAGAATCTTTTTATCCCATCAAGATGTGCCACGTTTAAAAAAAGGTTGGGAACCACTCGTCTAGGGGGTAGTATTTATAATTACATGTATGTATAATTGACATGCATGTATATTCTTGTACACCCCACAGAAGCGGGAGATCCCTGACTACCTGTGTGGAAAGATCAGCTTTGAGTTGATGAGGGAGCCCTGCATCACCCCCAGTGGGATCACCTACGACCGCAAGGACATCGAGGAGCATCTACAGGTACAGTATACCATCCTTTTATAGTCATAGACATCTACTCAGCAGAAGTATAGGTAAACCGTCACCCATTCATAGACATACTGTGTTATCCACACTACCAACTACCAATCACTTACCGCTAAATTACCACCCATTTAGATAGCTATACATACACTTGCAGTTCCTACTCTACCAACCACTCATCCACAAGGGTAATACTATCCAAAGTAAACTGTAAACCATGAGTAAAATGCATAATAATGAAAGCTACCATCTCACGGCAACACCAATACCTCAAACAATCATTCCATTTTTCCTCCGTCCTGTGTAGCGAGTGGGTCATTTTGACCCGGTCACCCGGAGTCCTCTGACCCACGACCAGCTGATCCCCAACCTGGCCATGAAGGAGGTCATCGACGCCTTTATCCAGGAGAACGGTTGGGTGGAGGACTATTGAACCCCCATAACCCTAACCCTCTATGGCTCATAGACCCACACGGCCCAGAGCTGAGACCCACACCAGAAGTGTAAAGAAAAAAGGAAGAGACAGAATTCACAAACTCCCTCCTGGACATGCACTTTACACAGGGGGGGGGGGCGACACAATGGACTGTGAAATGACAGCCATATCGCGAGGTGATGCCTCTCTCTTTCTAAATTTGTCTCCTCTCTCCTCCCCTTCTCTCTTGAAATCTTTCTTTATCGCTTCCCTTCCTTCCTCAGAATCGGGGGCCATGTTTCTCAGGTCTCTCTCTCTTCCCTTCTATCTCTCTCTGTGCCACAATTCTCTCTGAACACATTGCTCTGCACTCAGGTGTCTCAGAACCCTCTAATGTAACGCTTCCAATCTCTTCTCAAATATAACCATTGGAACTATCTACCCAAACGATGAAAATATTAGCTTTTTATCCAACTCTTACTCCAGTATTTTTTTTGTTTACTTCAATTTTTAAATAATAATGGGTTAGTTGTATAGTTAGTTGTACCGTAATTAATAATTTCCTACAATTCAGTGTTGGTGGTCTTGGTCAATTTGATGCCAAATTGTTATTTGACTTTTCAAACAATCTAGTGTGGATGTTCTTATGCAAGACGATAGCAAATGTGAGAAATTGATTATAGAAAAACTGACCAACCAAGTCGGTCTGCTTCAAGTCCTTGCCTGTGTTGTGGAGTTATAACAAGATCATACAATCTAGAATGTTCCAATCGATGGTCAACGGTCCACTATTACATTATATCAGTCCCCCATAGCAGGCAGTTATACTATGTTGAATGTATGCATATAGTGACAGTGAATAGATTAAACCTATTTTATTTTACAACAAGTTGTATGTATTATTACAGTAGTACCAAATTGCGTTATTTTCATCATCCAAAAAGGAGATTTGATAGACAATTCATCAGTTGAAAGTGCTGCATAGAGACTCTACAAGGTCCTTTCTATTCCCTCTATAATGGTTCAAATAGCTGCACTTTTATCATATGAGAACATCGTCTTTACTTTCTCTTTGAAGTTCTTGAAACATGTTTTGAAGGACTGTGCTGGTATTAGAGACAAAACAATAGGTACGTGCGCTTGGACAATGTGTTTGGCTGATGGCTAGTAGTGCAACCGCCGGTACAGTATGCATTTGACATGACAATGGACTCCCTACATTGCTAAGCATGAGGTCTGCTCAGGTTGTTAAGCATTCAGGTCTGCTTTGCAAAGAATTGTTTCCCCCACTCCATTACAGGGAAAAGCCCTGTCGTACATACCTGCTTTACTATAACCACACAGTAGCAGTAGGTATTCACAACAACTTAACACATGTCTATGACAACTGACTAATGGTCAAAGCAGTCAAATTCTCAAAACTTTGAGAGTCTCTTATACCTTCTCATTTCAGTGTCTTTCCCTATTTTGATCTAACCTATGGTTAGAAATGCTGGAAGGGGGACAATCACAACAATCAATGTTGCAGTACCTCGACTATGAGCTTGGATGTCTCTGCTATTGACAGATTCTCCTTAAATATTTCTCCTCAGTTTTTCTCAATTAGTTTACATAAGTCCCCTTTCAGCTGAATGTATGTGATTTTAGTGAACTGCAGGTTTTGTGTTGGGGTGAGGGATTGGCTTTTTGAGGATTTCTGGAGAGCTTGAGAATAAACAACTGTATTAAATGTAGATATGTTAATTATACACATGACCTTGGTTTGTTGTTCCTTTGTCTCCTTGTGAAATGTTCATCCGATTTTGCTCACACTACTTTTGATCACATCTAATGGTTCACTGCTGTTGTGCACTTTAGCAAGGCACTTAACCTGCTCCAGGGGTGCTCCATGAGCTGCTTCCAGCATCTGAGGTGTGTGTCGTGCTAGGGAGGTTGGGAATGAAAAAAACAGACGGCAAAAAGAAGAGTTGTAGGTAAGTGAATCAACCCCGTCAATCAGACATTAGTACTGTTCAAAACAAAATGTACAAGAGACCATGAGGTTGCTGGACCTAGAGGTCACCCTTCCTCAAAACACAGTCATTTAATTACTTGATAGGCACACACACCCACAATCACATGTTCTGAAAGTGTGTGTGCGTCCGCTCGGGCGTCAGTCAACACAAAAGACCAGTGTCACCCAGACACAAGCCCCCTCGCACACACCGGGTCCATTGTCAGCACATCCGTCCATTGAAGTGATGTAATGGTCTGGTACTAGGAGGGAAGAGGAGTCCAGACCCCATGGCATTAAGAACAGACAGGCGTGACAGAGTGAGCTAGCGTCATCACCTTTCAGTGGAATAACAACCTTAAATCAACATGGTAAGAGCAATACTGTTAGTATTTTGTTAGCAGGATATGCACTTTATACTATAGTATATGATGTATTTACTACTATTTATTATTTTCACAATGACTGTAGTAGCGGCATGTTTCGCAATTCTGATATGTGTTTGTTGTGGTAGATACTCTCAAGTGAAAAGATAGCTGCCAGTGTCATACTCCTACTCGGTATCATGGGTGTCACCTCAGCAAATGAAGGTATGTGTTTGGTTGGTAGGCTATGGAATATAGGGGAATCATTTAGGATAATGATTATTTCTTTGTAATTATTTCTTTACTAAACAACAATTGTTATTGGTAAAATCCCAAATAGTAAATCCTATAGCTCATATCAGTATGAAAAAAAAATATATGCACTCACTAACTGTAAGTCGCTCTGGATAAGAGCGTCTGCTAAAATGTAAATGTAAATATCATGTGTGCATACCTAAAGTAAAGAATTCCTTATTAACTCATGTTTTAACATGTTGCACTTCTCAGAGAGAAGTCATACTCAGATTGCTCTCATGCAAAGCTGTTTTTATACTGTTGTGACGGCAGTACAACATCTAGTGACCGTAAAGTGGTTTGGACCTCTTGGTTGAACGATTTAAGGTGTTGGACTGACAGTCACAGGAACCCGGGTTCAATTCCCAGTCAGACCACCGTTAATGTGCTACAATACTGTTGTGTCATCTTCACCAGTGACTGCTTTAATAGACAGTTGATGTTGTTGTTTGTGGTGTTGTTTACAGTTGGCCTGGGCGGAAAGGTGCTGGTCTTCCCGTACGAGACGGACTTCAGCTTCGTGGCGCTCATCCCCCAAAAGGAGATGGGCCTGCGGGCGTTCACTCTGTGCATGCGCGTGGCCACCGAGCTGGAGGGCGAGCGGCAGATCATCCTGTTCGCCTACCGCACGCCCGACTACGACGAGCTCAACGTGTGGCGCGAGAAAGACGGCCGCATCGCCTTCTACCTGAGTGGCGACGGTGCCTTCTTCCACCTGCCACCCATCACCACCTTCAGAACGAGTCTCTGCCTCACCTGGGAGTCCCGTACGGGGCTGGCCGCCTTCTGGGTGGACGGCCGCCGCAGCACCTACCAGGTGTACAAGCCGGGTCACACCATTCGGCCCAAGGGGACCGTCCTCCTTGGGCAAGACCCGGACAAACACCTGGGAGACCTGGAGGCGGTGCAAAGCTTTGTGGGGGAGGTGACCGACCTCAACATGTGGGACTATGTGCTGCCCAGAAGCCAGATCCAAGCCCTGCATTACGAACATAAGATCATTAAGGGAAACATCTTTGACTGGGCCACCATCGAGTACCAGCTGAACGGGAATGTGATGGTGGTGGATGATGACTGACTCGGAGTGGAGTCGCGAGCGGACGTGGATATGACCCATTTGGGTGTCTGTGCTGGACTGCTACTGACCTTTTTGTTTAGTTTGGTCTTCTAGATTTAGTCACTTGCATGCCTTATGTAGCCAGTTAACTATATTCACTCACAAAATACCAGTGGTTCATAAGAAAAGATGGACATTCATTTTGTGATGTTTAAATAGTCTATGCAGAAAGATCAGAACCAGTTGATTCCAAAAGGTCCTTCATCAGACAGGCACATGTATGTAACAAAATTATTCTTTAGAACTAACTATTTAGGATAGATACAGTATGTCCACTCACCTAATGCATGGATGGTGAGGTTAACTATATTTTATTAGCATTCCAGCAGTTTTTATGTTAATTTATTAAGGAGTTTATTAGTCTCCTCTTGGTAATTATCATGAATGTTCAGGACAAATTTCATACAATATGCAATTTAATCTGTTATTTAGTTACAGAGCTAATTTATTTGTTGCTCTCAGCATGATTTTCTTTTTTATGTGGCCTCATATGCCAGGCTTCTAGGGACTTTTATACAATTGTCACGCGGCTGGTGAGCCCTAATTTCAATGGAATGTATTGTTGATGTACCAGATTTAACCACAAGGTGGCAGTATATGCTAGTTTCTTTATTCAGTGAGCGTCAAACAAGACATTGCTTGATCATACATGGTGTGGCATTCTTGTGCTCAAGATTTCAATTGCTTTTGTTCCCGCTAATGGCTCAATTGAAACTGGTAACATTAGACCTGTAATGTTAAAGTCATGCATGTCCTTCAAATTCTTTGATATTGATTTTATTCATAAAAGTTAACAATAATGTTAGCCCTATTTTGGCAATTGTTTATGGAAAACAGGATGAGTAAACGAGAGTCAAAGGAGGTGAATGAAAGCGTGAAAGAGAAGGATGATTCATTATTTCTATACTTAATAATTTAACTGCGCTTTCAGACAAACAGCAATTATGATGTTTAAAAGCCATTGCCATAATGTTGCCTTTGGTTAGCACACTCTCTCTCATAAATGTACCATGTTTAAACTGATGTAAGAATGCTTTTGGGTCTGAAATCAAATCTTGGCATGTGCATAACTAAAAGTGTGTGTTATTAAAGAGAAAATAGGTCTTTGAACTTTTTGAGTATCCTCTTTTTGTAGTATGCCTACAATTGCTGGTGAGACCTTCAAAATGTAAATTAATGGTGGTATAGTGTGCCATTGTTTTCACTTGAATTATTTTTTTAAATTGTTGTTCTAAAATGAAATGGCCATTTGTTCATGTGTAATAACCTACACTACCGGTCAAAAGTTTTAGTAGAATAATAATTTTAGAATAATAGTGAAGACATCAAAACTATGAAATAACACATATGGAATCATGTAGTAACCAAAAAAGTGTTCAACAAATCAAAATATATTTTATATTTTATATTCTTTAAATAGCCACCCCTTTGCCTTGATGATAGCATTGCACACGCTTGGCATTCTCTCAACCAGCTTCATGAGGTAGTCACCTGGAATGCATTTCAATTAACAGGTGTGCCTTCTTAAAACTTAATTTGTGGAATTTATTTCCTTCTTAATGCGTTTGAGCCAATCAGTTGTGTTGTGACAAGGTAGGGGGGTATACAGAAGATAGCCCTATTTGGTAAAAGACCAAGTCCATATTATGGCAAGAACAGCTCAAATAATCAAAGAGAAATGACAGTCCATCATTACTTTAAGACATGAAGGTCAGTCAATACGGAACATTTCAAGAACTTTGAAAGTTTCTTCAAGTGCAGTCGTAAAAACCATCAAGCGCTATGATAAAACTGGCTCTCATGAGGACCGCCACAGGAATGGAAGACCCAGAGTTACCTCTGCTGCAGAGGATAAGTTCATTAGAGTTACCAGCCTCAGAAGTTGCAGCCCAAATAAATGCTTCACAGAGTTCAAGTCACAGACACATCTCAACATCAACTGTTCAGAGGAGACTGTGTGAATCAGGCCTTCATGGTCGAATTGTTGCAAAGAAACCACTACTAAAGGACACCAATAAGAAGAAGAGACTTGTTTGGGCCAAGAAACACAAGCAAAGGACATTAGACCGGTGGAAATTTGTCCTTCGGTCTGGAGTCCAAATTGGAGATTTTTGGTTCCAACTGCCGTGTCTTTGTGAGACACAGTGTGGGTGAACGGATGATCTCCGCATGTGTATTTCCCACCGTAAAGCATGGAGGAGGATGTGTTATTGTGTGGGGGTGCTTTGCTGGTGACACTGTCTGTGATTTATTTAAAATTCAAGGCACACTTAACCAGCATGTCTACCACAGCATTCTGCAGCGATACGCCATCCCATCTGGTTTGGGCTTAGTGGGACTATCATTTGTTTTTCAACAGGACAATGACCCAACACACCTCCGGGCTGTAGAAGGGTTTTTTTACCAAGAAGGAAAGTGATGGAGTGCTGCATCAGATGACCTGGCCTCCACAATCCCCCGACCTCAACCAGATTGAGATGGTTTGGGATGAGTCGGACCGCAGAGTGAAGGAAAAGCAGCCAACAAGTGCTCAGCATATGTGGGAATTCCTTCAAGACTGTTGGAGAAGCATTTCAGGTGAAGCTGGTTGAGAGAATGCCAAGAGTGTGCAAAGCTGTCATCAAGACAAAGGGTGGCTATTTGAAGAATCTCTCAAATAAAATATATTTAGATTTGTTTAACATTTCTTGGTTACTACATGATTCCATATGTGTTAATTCATAGTTTTGATGTCTTCACTATTATTCTACAATGTAGAAAATAGTAAAAAAACAAAGAAGAACCCTTGAATGAGTAGGTGTTCTAAATCTTTTGACAGGTAGTGTATATGTTGTGAATGATCTCACTCAAAAGGAACAACACCACATAAACAGTATAGACTTTTGTTCACTGCGCCAATAATGAAGTCTAGGGTGTAGTCCTGATAACATTGACCCTTGAAAGAACCCACAGGGCACAGACGTCAATTCAACGTATATTCCATGTTGGTTCAACGTAAT